CTTCGGGCTGAACGGGCGGCGTTAAAGCACTGTAGGCTGAATAGGTGGATATATGTAAATATGTGACACTGAATAAAATAATGGGCTGTTTTCGTAGTTCAGTGTGCTTAAACGGACAGTATGGACGCGGACGCGAATGGTGTGTTACGAAACTTTAACAAGGTTTCCAAAATTATGTGAAACTCGTATTTCAAAATGATATCTGCAAGAATCAGAAACGCTGCCCCTACAACTCTTGATACGTGGATTCATGGAATTTCTAAAATCAGGACCCTTGTGCTCGATTAACTATACGCTGTGTTTGAGTTGTGAATGAGTATTTCAAAATTTAGAGAAAAATTCATTTTTGGAACTGGATTTTTTCCCCAAGCACTTTTGGAGCGCTTATATATATATATATATATATATATATATATATATATATACACACACACACATGGGTCATTCTACAGAAACTTCCACTTCTCTATCTCTCCATAGGAGTCACTGGTGTTACTGATCCTCATTGGTGTTACACATAAGAAAGGGAACACCAGAGACATTTTTAATGAACAATGCATTTTACAAAATAACTGCTACAGAGCATCAAACCACATGTTGTCAATCATGGAAATCCACTAAAATACGTAATTTAATCCATTTGTGTTCTATTTTTTGACAATTACCTCAGAATAAAGTCGGTCACACCAGTGACTTCAGCTAAAAGCTTCATATGAAATCATGAGCTAAATGAGAAAATCTCTGATAACTGAAAGACACAGTGGACTCACCATGTGCTTTTCTTCATAGATCCTCAGAAAACAGGTAAACTTTTATTTAGACTTTTATTTTAAAATAAGAGATTTTTTGTTACGCAGTAACACCAGTGACACGACTCCTGGGGAACTTTCGTTATATATTTTATAACATTTATTTTCCATTTGTTTTCTTTATGTCATTTAAATCATATATTCCATAGTCGTGTATAGATTATTGTAGTTTATATTGCAGACAAAAGTGTTTTTTTCTTCAAAATATGGCCTCAGCCTTCACACATGACTGTGGGGACGTGCACTTCCGTGGTGCTTGGAATTCTAGATAATTGATTTAAAAACCAATATTGCTAAATTGAGGTTCAAGAAAGTGTAATTGTTAAAAAAGTTATTATTTTATTTTAAAATATAAATAAATTGTAACCCTAACATGTTTTTTCAAGTGTAAAATATCTGTAAACGCTAGGGACACAAAGATAGACGTTTCTGTAGAATGACCCGTATACCACATTGACAATCAACTCCTATTGTTGGATCTTATTCATGAACTAGTGATACAACAGCACAAACCTGGCCAAATGTCCAAACTACTCTGTGTATTTTAGTCTCTATTGGCTGGTTTCATGGACTAAGCTTGGACTAAACTTTAATGTCGTTTCACCATTAAAAATCCCATTTAGTCCAGATTAAAGCTGCACATTCTGCATTTCTAAATTGTGTTAGATGACAGAACCTAAACAAAAACAGTGTTGCTATCAAGTTACTTACAGTCTGCACTGAAGATCTGGAGAAATCCCTCACATTAAAAGTAGAAAACATCCCTGTTCAAGCGTCACGCAGCTGTCCTCATCAGCCCTGAGGGAAAGCCCTGGTTACTGCTCTCTGAGCGAGAGGTGGGGGTGATTATAATGGGCGAACACTGAACGCTGATACGTTATCTGTGAGAGGCACCAGGTCTCCGCCCTCTCCTCTTACAGCCAAAACACAGTCCACACCTCCCCAAATCCTCCCAAAACTGGACAATTAATAAACAGGTTCTGCATCTTTATCACCTGCGTGTATCCCTTCACCATGAACAGATGATAAAGAATACGTTTTAGGCCAAAAGCTTCTAAAAACTACCATAAAACAATGTTCCAGGCACCATTCCTTGCATTAACTCTCTGTGAGGACCTTTTAGAGGTGGACGTCTGGTTCCTATCACCACCACTGTGAGCAATTTTGACTCTAAGCTTCTCTAGAACAGAGCTTTTCACACCAGACCACTCTGAATGACTTAGATTACATCTTAGCCATTAAATTACGCATTATGTTTTCTTTGGGGATAATTTAGCCTTACAACACCCTGCATGTATTTCTCTAACATAAATACTGTTAAATATATATATTTTAGGTCAAAACTATCATAAAACAGTGTCTCAGACATCAGGCAGTGAATTCATAACCATCTCATGAAGAAAAAGTCAATGTTTTTCCTCAAAGGTAGATCTTTTTTCCACCTTCTTCACCACCAAAATGAACAGCTACCTTCCATTGACTTCCACAGGGCATGAACTGTGTTCAGCATATCCATCATATTCTTTACCAGATCTTACCATAAAGATGGAAATAAGAGGACATCTAAGGAGAACACTGTTTTTCTCTATTAGTGGTACAGTTTAAGCAAATAGCCTTAACCTTGTATCTTCACTTATTGTCCATTTCATCAGCTCCACTGACCATATAGGAGGACTACATATACAATATAGTTGTAGTTCTACAGTTACAGACTGTAGTCCATCTGTTTCACTGTATATTCTGTTACCCTGTTCTTCTATGGTCAGGACCCTCACAGAGCAGGTACTATTTGGGTGGTGGATCATTCTCAGCACTGCAGTAACACTGATGTGGTGGTGGTGTGTTAGTGTGTGTTGTGCTGGTACGAGCGGATCAGACACAGCAGTGCTGCTGGAGTTTTTAAACACCTCAGTGTCACTGCTGGACTGAGAATAGTCTACCAACCAAAAATATCCAGCCAACAGCGTCCTGTGGGCAGCGTCCTGTGACCACTGATGAAGGACTAGAGGATGACCAACACAAACTGTGCAGCAGCAGATGAGCTATCGTCTCTGACTTTACATCTACAAGGTGGACTGACAAGGTAGGAGTGTCTAATAGAGTGGACAGTGAGTGGACGCAGTGTTTAAAAACTCCAGCAGCACTGCTGTGTCTGATCCACTCGTATTTTAACTCGTATATTTAAATGAAGCCACAGAGGAATCAATAGATTAACTTCCTCGAAGGCTCAACTTACCTAAGCTAACAAAATTGGTGTTTCCTCTAAAAGTGTAAAAGTGTAACCGGTTAATGTAGTAAGGATAAAAAGATAATTAAGGTGGCCTTAATTATCTTTTTGTCGTTACTACATTAACAGGTTAGTACAGTTTTGAAAAATGCTAACGTTATGGCTTTCCATTCGCCAGCTTCTTGTTCCAATTCCCCCGTTCCACCTTAAATGGTGCCAGTCGACGAAATGTGGCTGTTTATATGTCCTCCTTCTTATGAAAAGACTTCATAAAATCATGAAATATGTCATTTTAATAACAGAGTACTACGTCTCCTCCAAAGAGGAGGTGGTGGCGGGTTTAAAAAAAATAAACAAACAAAAAAAAACGTAACGGCTGCACCATTTAAGGTGGACCGGATAATTCGAACAAGTATAGCGTAACACCTAAGCGGCTATTCAGCTTTATTACACGTTACACAGACTTGCTAACGGCTTAACACTCACACTGTTCACGAATTAAAGCAGAAACACAGCTAAACACGAGATTATTAACACGATTATTCGTGTCTCGGCGGCTGAACCAGAGCGTTTTGCTAGGTTAACTGAACGTAAACAAGTCAGGCTCAACAGACCGACGCTGCTACGCCGCACCGAACCGAACCGAACCACAGCCAAATTAATCGAATAACGAGTCCGACAGCTTCGGCACTGGGCTATAAAAGGTAGACTCACCTTTTGGACCCAAAAACAGAGCGCTGTCGCCTTCAGCTCATTCTCCTACTCCACGCTGGGGTGAAATGAGGCGCTCAGTTTCTGCCTCATGTAGTTACTAAAGCACATTCTGTCCTTGCCGTTGTTCGCTGGTGCCCCGCTGGTGCCCCGCTGCGCCCCCTGCTGGCTGCTTCTGGAAGCTCCTAACGCTGCAGAGCCCTGTGTTTTGCTTTAAACAGTAGATCTGCACGGAGCCCCCAACTGACGCTGGACTATTTTTAACAAGGAGTGGCCACGAATTAATATACTGAGGCCACGAATTAATATATGGTCGCTGTCCAACGAAAAAAAGATCTCCAAAATACTAACTTTACAGGAAAGGGCTAAAACACTCTCACCTTAATGTAAGTTAATGTAAAGAGATTTTATTCCAAGTGATTTTGGAGCATTTCTATTGGTCCATTTATCATGAAATGTTCACAGGATGTAAAGAAAAATAGAAAAATAAAAATCGACAAAAAAACAGAGACACATGGTTTTCTTTGGACAGCAACAGTATTATACTCAATAAATTAGTTTGCGGCTTCTGTATAGTTAATTGTGGCCTCAGTAATTTGTTGCCTCAGCATAGTAACTTGTGGCCTCATATCTGTTTTCACATCAACACAAAACATAAATTTAATAAATAACTGGTTACATAATTGGTTAGTGGTTAATGGTTAATGGAGAGGCTCTTAGTTCCAGTGAAGGGTTAATGCTACAGCTATAATTAGTTAAATTTTTTCTGAGGGGTTTTTATTTTTTTATATATCTTTAAGATTTAGATTAAAGAAAAAATACTTAAAAAAATGCAAATCCAATGTTTTCATGTCTGAAACACCAAAGCTGTATTCCATTCCACAGGGTTCCTAAGCAGTGTTGCCTTTCAGCAAAAACCAAACCACCTTGGGAGCCACAACATTTTATGTCCTTTTAACCATCTTGGCTGTAAATATGTCTCAGTATGTGCTGATGTTCTAGTAGAGACTAACAAATTTAATATAGCCAAAAACACAGACTTACTTTGCTCTGCTTTAATCTTCAGCTCAGCTATAGTTGCTTTTCTCGCATCTCCAGCAGGAAACTTTTCCACAAAAGTTGAACAGTTTCTTGTAAAATGTCTCTCAATGTTTAATTTTTACGAGGTTGTAGTCGCTTCTCATTCGCCAGCTTCTTGTTCGAATGGTCCCGTTCCACCTTAAATGGTGCCTGAGGCGCCAGAATGTAACTGCTGCACCATTTAAGGTGGAACGGGAACATTTGAACAAGAAACTGACAGCAGCTTCATGACTTTTTAGTGTTTGTCAGTTTCTCATTGCAGATTAAACGTATCAGGAAACCAGCTGGAGCAATTATAAATGCAAATAAGTCCATTCAGCTCCAAATTATCAATGTTCATCTTAAATCTCTCTCTTTGCCTTTTCGTTAGCCGCTAGCCAGGCAAGACTGTTGTCTGCGTTACCAACAGTCTGTGCACCAGCCTTTAAGGTTAAAGGGTGAATTAGCAGTTCTAAACTCCAGAGTTTAAGACCATTTACAGTTAAACTGTGTTGAACGATCAGCAGAGCTTTATTTTACTGTAAAGGAGGATTATTTTATTTTTACCTACAAATCTGATTGTGCTGTGGAGCCACAGGGCAGTAAAAGAGCCGCATGTTGCCGAACCCTGTATGACACACTTGAGTACGTGATGTCAGTTAAAGGAACTGTAGTTAAGAAACACCTTCAGACGTCCTGAAGCATCATAATGCATCATAAGCATCAAATCAATTTACTGATGGGTAAATTTTCCTGCAGCTTCCCTTGAAGTGATCAACCATTGTTCAGCATTTCCTGCGCAGTGTGAAGATCCCTTCCACCCTGTGGTTCAGAATCTCCCTTAAAATGCCTGAATTTGTACAGTACACTTTGCAGGGAACTACAAGGGCGATTAGGATGCATCTAAAGTGTTTCAGTCTGTAGGCGGAGCCTTATTTTAGCCACGCCCCTGCATTTTAGAGCAGAAAGTGAGGCTGCATCCCTGTCCCTCATGGCCACATGGTGAGCAGTTGGATCCCATTGTTTTTTGACCACTGAAACACAGATTTTCTGCAGTTCAGTACTTTTTTGTGTTTCAACATAAAATATGGTGATTTTATGTGTGTTCAGCTGTTCAAAGCTGTGTCTGCTGGTCATGTACTGGCTAGCGCTTTTAGATTCTGCTCAAAATGAGCTAAAATTGTCACGACCGCAACAGTTTGGTAAAGTTTCAGTAGTGTTATGATTGTTTTGGTAGTAACAAAATGGAGTTTTTAATCATTTGTTTTAATAAAATAAACATAATTAAGGTATGGGGCACTCAGAGCAAAAGGACTTTAGTGTAGGTTCAGTTTAAAGTCTGAAAAGTGTTTTCAACTTTGACTTTAAACCAGTTCAGTAGAATCATCCATGTATGATAATGGGAGTGGGCTTTACACACAATAAATATTGATTCTTTATGGTTTTCCACCAAGCAGCATGAATGAAATTCTTCAGTTTTTTACATAAAAGTTGAAAGAAGATCCAGCTCAAGCTGTGATTCTGTTAGAAGAGCAGCGCTTTTATCAAACTGAGCAGACAGAAAGGCACAAAACACACAGCAAACCAGTGAGGGAGGTCACCAACAGGTTGGCAGTGGGCCCTGTGGCATCGCCACAATACACACACACACACACACACAACGAATGATGAATCACACTTCTCTATCTGTCAGTCTGATGGACGAGTCTGGGTTTGGAGAATGCCAGGAGAACGTTACCTGCCTGACTGCACTGTGCCAGCTGTAAAGTTTGGTGGAGGAGGGATGATGATATGGGGCTGTTTTTCAGGGGTTGGTCTAGAACCCTTAGTTCCAGTGAAGGGGAATCTTAACAAAGACATTTTGGACAATTCTATGCTTCCAACTTTGTGGGAACAGTTTGGGGAAGAACCTTTCCTGTTCCAGCATGACTGAGCCCCAGTGCACAAAGCAGCTCCATAAAGGCCTGGCTGGGTGAGTTTGGTGTGGAAGAACTCGACTGGCCCTCACAGAGCCCTGACCTCAACCCCATCAAACACCTTTGGGATAAACTAGAATGGAGATTGTGAGCCAGACCCTCTCGTCCAACATCAGTGTCTGACCTCACAAATGCTCTTCTGGATGAATGGGCAGAAATTCCCACAGAGACTCTCCAACATCTTGTAGAAGCTTCCCAGAAGAATGGAAGCTGTTACAGCTGCAAAGGGGGACCAGCTCCATATTAATGCCTATGGATTTAGAATGGGATTCATAAAAGCTCCTGTAGGTGTGATGTGTAGGTGTCCCAATACTTTTGTCCATATAGTGTATAAATGATGTGATCCAGGTAATCAAGGCTTCCAGAGGCGTCTGACTGTTACAGCCAGGTGTTTGGATCTAAACTCTCCAGTGAGGCAGATCTCCAGGATCAGGTTTGATCACCTCAATCTACAGTAAAATACTACTAGAAGTCGCAGTAAAATAAACTACAGTTTTACTTTCCTGTCACACTCATTTATTTAGCCATAATGAGGTAACATTACATTACGAACAACAGGATGAAGAGTAAATTTAAACAGTATAATTTAAATCTTCACATGAGTTAAAGAGGAATTCCAATACCTTTAGAAAAAGTCAGTGTAATTCAGTGAGTGAGGTGTAATCAGAGTGATTCAGAGTGGTTTGGTGTGAAATGGTTCAGATGTCTTTACAGTGGT